TTTCCAGCTCCGTCACCAGGCTGGAGTGCAGTGGCACGATCTCGGCTCACTGCAACCTCTGCCTCCTGGGTTCAAGCAATTCTCCTGCCACAGCCTCCCGAGTAGCTGGGACTACAGGCGTGCACCACCATGCCCAGCTAATTTTTCTATTTTAGTAGAGACAGGGTTTCACCATGTTGGCCAGGGTGGTCTCAAACCCCTGACCTTGTGATCTGCCCGCCTGGGCCCTCCAAAGTTCTGGGATTATAGGCGTGAGCCACTGCGCCTGGCAGGAAAGCAGATTCTTATTGAACTTATGCAAAGAACTACATTGAAAATAAGAATATTCATGAATCGCTTCCAGATTTTTGAGAAATCAGGTAGAGAAAAAGACAAATGTTTCATTTTTGCTCACAAAAGTGTATGTCACACAATTGCTATAGCTATAAATAGCTCAAAAAGAAAAAGGTTTTTTCACTCTGGAAAACAAAATATTAAAAGAGTCAGCAAGGTTTCAGCAACAACAGAAAGTCATAAAAAGTATTTCAGTCCTCTGTCAGTTCAGTTCCATGTAATTTGCTTTTTTTCTGTATGATGTTGGGTTAGCAATCCTCATGAATGCATCAGCTTTTTGATAAGAGTCCTGGAAGTTTTTATCTGGTCCATTGGTGTGAGCTCCCAAGTTATCAGAAGCCCGTATGCTTGTCAGTGTCCTTTCCGTGAATTTCCTTGATGAAAATGCAAATTTTGTACTGTAGCTTATTTTATTTTAGTATTTTATTTTATTTTGAGACAGAGTCTCGCTCTCTTGCCCAGGCTGGAGTACAGTGGCATGATCTTGGCTCACTGCAACTCCTGCCTCTTGGGTTCAAGTGATTCTCCTGCCTCAGCCTCCGGGTAGCTGGGATTACAGGCATGTACCACCACGCCCGGCTAATTTTTGTATTTTTAGTAGAGATGGGGTTTCACTGTGTTGGCCAGGCTGGTCTCGAACCCTGGATCTCAACTGATCCGCCCGCCTCGGCCTCCCAAAGTGCTGGGATTACAGGCATGAGCCACCACACCTGGCCTTAAACTGCATTTTGAGAAGAATCAAAGTAAAACAGTAATTTTCTGTGGACGCCAAAAGACTTAGAGTAGTCGTGGGTGAAGATGCAGTTGACAGTGAATTTGATTACTTATGTGGCTAGAACAATTTAACATATAATCCTAATTAGGACTGATACCGTATACCAACACATGCCAGAATTTTTAGGAATCTCATACAATTTTGGAACATAGGTTAATAATACATTTATACAAATATAACTCAAACAGCATTTCATATTTGTTGATGCCTCCTGTATGATTTTAACACACCGAATCAGCCTCATACATCTCCCTTGGACTTCTGGGGCTTCCTATTGGTTATGTCCAAATTAGTTCAGGTCAAAATAACCTTCATTTTAGAACTTGAAATTTGGTTTTGGGAAGCATGTCAAAATAAGTCATTCATTAACCAAATTGGCAATTCAGAGATTTCCAAAAGCAAAACCGTTACTCTGATAGGGAGAAGACTTGGTTTCCCAGTCAGTAGAGCTGATAAAGACAGCACGAGGCAGACAGTGTCTCTCCCTCTTTCCCTCTTCTTTTTTCTGTTTACTGAAAAGGTAAACAAACATCTTTTTCAATTAATATTACAGGAAAATGTTGTTAGAAAGAAAAACACTCTACTTTTTT